ATAGGTAAAAGCCCCGGTGCCTTTGCAGCTGGCTTTGGATTCGCCGCTAGTTTAGCAGCGCAGGCGTCTTCATTAGTGCTGTAGCGACGCGTCGACAACGTCGACTTCAAAATATCGTCGACGACATATTTCCGCGTCGACACGTCGCTACACACACGTGGGTCACCCAAAGCAACAAGCAGTTCGCAATCGCACTTCAAACACAATGGAGACTGAAACGGCTACCACCTCCTCCTCACAGGATTGCGCACGAAGCCCCCAAACGAAAACATCTCGCCCTAGGTCTTCAAAAGCATGGGAATATTTTAAAGTTAGTCCAAACACAAAGATATTTATATCTCACTGAGACTGCTGCAGAAGCAGCAGCTAGCTGTGGTGGCTACCATTAGCAGCTAGCATTTTCTCTCCGATTTTTACATAAAATGGAATTATTGATTATAAATTCAATCATTTTTTTATACATAGACGTTAAAAACCTATGGATTAACCGATTCAGCCGCGTCTTTTCTCATTTTAATGCCATTGAACACGTCTTTTGATCAGATTGACAGCTACGGTGGTGAGACGATCTCCCTAGAAGCTCTGTGAAGGTACGTGTTGTGATGACTGTATTTGCTTCCCCTGTCGCGAGTCCGGATCACTCAGTGATGATACTATATACCTACATAATCTGTGGAGTCTCAGCTTTAATCGGATATATTGTATGTGCAGCTACGATAAGTAATAAGGGTACTTTTATCTTGAGTTCTGTGCCAATGTCCGTTAGCATTTTTCGCTCAGGGGTCATTTAGATGCTTCTTATGAGACTTGTGTTTTGTTTTGGTAAACATGGTTTGTATCGTCAGTTAGCTGAGATTATTTCCGTTAATCTGGTATAACACATTAATAGGTTCTTAAATATTAAGATCCCCTGAGACACAGTATCGTGAAAAAAAAATGTTTTACATTACGTTTTTTTACATTACGTTTTTTATGAATTGAACAACAGAAAAATAATCGTTAGATTAGTCGACTAATCGATCAAATAATCGCCCGATTAATCGTTTTCAAAATAATCGTTTCCCCCCAGCACTAGTCTTCATACACTTTTAACACACCATCGTAGCGATGGCGATGTTTCAGGTGACTAATCAGGTTGGAAGTATTATAGCTCTTTGCCTTTTTCCCTGCTCGTGGAACTTCTGCATTGCATTTGTTTATACAAATAGCAAGCGAACTATCTAACTCTGAAACTTTGAAATAGTCCCATACTACCGACGACATGTTTGTTTACTGTCCTGGCTTCACGGCCGCACACCATTTACGTCACAGCCAGGCATGAGTTAGGGAGCGCTGGATTTGTGAAAAACTCCCCTCTTCCTAAACCACTAATACCACAGTACTGGCAAAACGGGAGGAGCCGAGTTAAAAACAAGCGCCCCTCATCCCAATCCACCCACACCGCAGTATTTTTTTCTTTTTTTTACCCAAAAAATGTATTGTATATTATCGGGGCTATTAATACTTTTATCGGGATGACGTCATAATTCCTAATATCGGGCCGATAATTATCGTGCACCACTAATAATTACCTGCAGCCCTTAAAGCGTACTTAATAAACATTCTTAACCAGTTATGGGATTAATAATTGGAAAAATGGGTTAATACAAATTTGAAAATGTAGGACGTCGAATTACTACCTTTGACATTATGTATGGAAATGATAACAATGGCTCGTGTTTCTTCCCAGAGGAATTCACTGTGAGGATTCCTCTTTCACAGACAATAAATGAGTCCACTTGCGTAACTGTGTTATGTTTCATAATACGAGCAGAAATTGAACTAGCACTGAAACGGTCTCCCTGAGGCATCACGCTGAGCACAGGATTATTTTTGCCCCCATTACCCTTTGGATAAGGGAGAGATATCTCCTCACCAGGGTTTAACTCTTAACAATCCAAACTGCTAAACTGACACAAAACTCAAGTCAGCAATGTCACACCATTATACATTTTTGTCAGACTTTACGCTCTCTAGGCTACACACCATATACCCACACCATCCCAAGACATCATGACATAATACCTGAATACTTTATGTTGTACTACAAACTAAACAACACATTTCCCAGTCTGTCAAGTACCCAAACACAAATGATTTGTCCGATTCTTCATCAGTCTTTCTTTGGTCAGATTTTCATCTTTATTCACCGATTAAGGCAAATATTTTCTATGCAGTCTCTGCTAAGACAGCAGTAAATACTTGTGCATTTCAGAAGCCTGGCTTTTAAGAAATAAACATCACCCCAATAAGTACACACTTACAAAATGAAATAAAGTACTCGACCTATACAAATACATATAAACAAGAAACAGCATCAACACAAATGTAAGGGTAATATCTCAAATCAATGTTTGGATAAAGATGTAAACATTCAGAATGGTAAATATCAAAACACCCATCAAATTGATAACTGTCCCTTTTCCTCAGTGTAGTTAGTGATGAGGTGGTTTCTAATGTGAACAGCTAACATTACCAGTTTTGTGGAGCCCAGAACATCCACCTTTCCTTCTCCGTGTTTACATCAGAAATATATTAGCTGTAATCCCTATGTTTATAATAACAATGATGAATTTACAGAGTTATCACCAGAACATGCAGCTTTAACATTTTCTTTGCTATTTTTAGCTAATTGTTTAGCCGTCCAACTGATTTCAGAGGCAGCAGGCAAGAAAAAGCTGTGAAAACTAGCTAGTAAACAAGCATTCGAGCATTTAGCAGCTCAACAGTCAAATATTTCTCTCCAGGGTTGAGTTCCTGTAGAGACCAGGAACACAGCCAACATATTGAATATTTGACAGACAGCATCTAGTTTTCCAGAAACACGATTTCAAAGGATTGCTAATGTTGCACCATTACTACTAGATGTAACCAGGGTCGCCATACCACCTTAAAAGGTCTGCTGCCTCTTAGTGGCAAAAACAGTAGTTATTATAGGTTTAATTCCCATTAACTCTTTCACTAAACAAAGATTAAATTAGCACAAAGTCTATGCTAAACTTTCCATGCTAAACTTAGGTTGTTGATGTAAACTACCAGAAGTATAAATAATTTCTACTTAATGCGCACCCCTTATACCAAATGACCACAAGGTAAAGGGAACTTGGTTGGTATGCCTACTCCATGTGATACTAGATTGGCTTAAATGCACGGTCTAAATGTCATGGTGTGCTGTGTACATATGACAAGTTGCTTGGATTCTCCATTATAATGTTATTGACTAAGGCTTCAGGAGTGTTTAACTGTTTCACAATTTAAAAAAAACGTATACTAGTTGGCTAGAGTGTTGCAGCGACATAAAGCAGTTATGGTTTCTCAGTTTTATATTATACATCAGACGTGGACTGCTTCTCCTGAAACAAAGACCACGTCCCCTAACATCAGAAAATGTTTAATGTCTTTCAGATTTTAAGAAGGTATGATATGTCCTAGTCTGACATTAAAATTAAAAGTCTTTAACAAAAATAAGCTTTGAAGAACTAGACAACAAGGCACAGATCGAACTACACCATGTCAAAGCTGGGCACTATACATATAAAACTCCCTAGTGTTGTGTCTATTGTAACTATTATAGAACAGTGTTATTTCCCATAACAAAATGAATGAAGGGTTATGGCTCAATGTACGAATGTGGCCACAATGTATGAGTATAGTGTTTTCCTAATATGAATGTGGATGTTGGTGTAATTTGTATTGTAGATACAAATCAAGTCTTTGTTTACTAAATCCACATTTGGCTGTGTCCCAATGTATATGCAGTCACCTAAAGTCACCTATAATAGAGCAAATAAATGTTCTCAAACTGACAGCTAACAAGTTAAATGCATATCTGATTGGAGGTGGTGGAAATGATTGGGCAGCTGACAAAAACAGACATCCGCTTGTTTCCACAACAACACACATGAGTATACACAGTCTGTTTATGTTAATGATCACCTCACTCAGGGGGAGGTACCTTTGCATTTCACAAGAGGGTTTGGTTGTTCTATGAAAGATGTCAACAACGTGACTGTTCTTAGGAGTACGATAACATTATGCTCAGTTATCAAATCAGACTGCCTACAACAACACTTGTTTACAGGTGGGTAACTATCATTAGCTAAAATGTGTGGATATTTACAGAAGCCGGATCAAAAATAAAAAAAGGTAGAAATCATATTGGTAGAAAAAAAGATTCAACTCAAAGCCAGCAAAACCTTACTGTCCAAAACAAACCAACCATTAACGCTAACTCACCTAACGCCCTTTTTAACGTGTGTTAGTGACATGAAATCATAGCTTATCACCCATCTGATAACAAAGCAAAGCGTTACCAGGCTAACGTTAGATTAGCTATCAGCAGAGCGCACTAAGTCAACTTCATGTAAAACCAATGTTTACAAACCGGGCGCTTCTGTTAGCGTGCCAAGTTAGCATGCTAGCTCAGTTAGCCTGATACCACAGTATAACAAAAAACTTTAAATTATTGACACTTAGTAGGCAATTAACATAATGTATCACGAGAACATTGGTAGTGTTGTGAGCTGGGAAGTGTGCTTAACGTTCTACACAGTAACGAAGCTTATTCAGTTGAAATGAAAATGCCGTTAGCTATTCGGCTGTTGTGACAGCTAGCTTATACAGCTAACATCGTTAGCTATTAGCTAACTTAGCCTAGCCATGTAGCACGTGTTCATGATTTATATAAAATAATCAACTAACTGACAATAGCCAGCAAACTATAAGCACTGTGGTGTGGTGAGTAACCAGCTGGATAAACTGTTCCTGGAAAAGTAACTACATTTTCCAAAGGTTCGACGTTACGTTAAGCTTTAAGGTAACGGATAGCCTGGAAAAGGTCAATACTGCTATGTATCTTTCTCATCCAAAGAATAGCCGTACCCCGTCGTCCAACAACAGAACACACAGACACCCCCTCCCTCCCCAAACCAACGGACAGCCAGCAATGGAAGCTAACTAACCTTAGCGGCGGGGCAGGAGAAACCATTCGGCGGTGTTATCGCACAGTAGCTAATGTCCCAATCCTTCCTCAGTCGGTCCAAATTCCCCCTAAGAGGTCCTCGCTTCGATTGGGTGTTCTCGCCCCTGAATTAATCCACATGAAAGAGTGTAGTTTTCGTTTTCATTTGTTCCGCTGGCGGTTTTCAGCTATGCCGTGCCTGTTCCTACACAACACAGTGGTATAGCACTCTCCTCTAAGCCGCTGCTGCTGACACCACAACGGGGCTGAACCGCCTCTCTCTCTCTCCATAGGTCCGCATGCTCTCGCCCCTCCTCTTTACTCAAGCACTGCACTTTCTCGATGCCCACAACAAATTCAGAGATACAGCAGTGTAGTAGGCTATTAAAGTCAGCGATCATCATAATGCACTACACACACACAGTGTTTATTGGGCTTCCACTGCTACAAATAATTTAGCATGTCTCCTATGCATTTCAGCACAGTACATACATGTGCATGTATTCGGAAGCGTTTAGCCTATAATTGATGTTAATTATTTCCTTTATACTTTTCCTTAAGTGTATGTGTATGATATGATACTGTAAAAATCATACATGTTCCAATTGCAGATTTAGACACACATATATATGTATCTATCTATCTGTCTGTCTGTCTGTCTCTGTCTGTCTCTGTCTGTCTGTCTGTCTGTCTATCTATCTGTCTGTCTGTCTGTCTGTCTCTGTCTGTCTGTCTGTCTGTCTGTCTATCTATCTGTCTGTCTGTCTGTCTGTCTGTCTGTCTGTCTGTCTGTCTGTCTGTCTGTCTGTCTGTCTGTCTGTCTGTCTGTCTGTCTGTCTGTCTGTCTGTCTGTCTGTCTGTCTGTCTGTCTGTCTGTCTGTCTGTCTGTCTGTCTGTCTCTGTCTGTCTGTCTGTCTGTCTGTCTATCTATCTATTTTTTAAACCTTTATTTATCCAGATAAATCCCATTGAGATCATTGAACTCTTTTACAAGGGAGACCTGCTCAAGTAGGTTCCACATGAAACATAAAAACATTAACAGAACAACAAAAGGACATCTTACATCATCATCACAGGGATTACAATTTACATAACTATCCACATGTACAGGTACCAACAGCTTCCGATTGAGTAGCATCCAACTGAGCTTTAAAAACATTTAGTGGCACCAGATTGCTCAGTTTCCATTTCAGTTGCAGACTATTCCAAGACAGTGGCGCATCTATCTATCCATCCATCCATTTATGTAGTAGTTCAATAGGATCAATACATCCTTGCTGCTTAAACGTATTGTTTTATTGTCCAGCTATCACATTACTATGAGGACATTATTAATGTTTCTCCCTCCCTGGTCCAGTCTGAACTTCCAACAGGGGTCAGTTGAAGCGTTTACACTCCAGGAAGTCAACATCTGTGCTGCTTGATGCCCGTGGTGAAGTACAAGCTGTGAATACAGTGACTTAACATTGAAGGATAGTATTTGGGAGATCACAACATCCATGCTGCGTACATAGTTGATGACTTTGCTGAAGCTGCTGCCCTCTAAATGGTCTGAAAGCTCTCGTTGGTTTCTAAAACCGCCACCCATACTTCAGCTATTTCAGTCACGGAAAATATTTAGTCTAAAAGTCAGTCAGTGGGGCTTGAAAAAAGAAAGATGCTCCTATCCTGGTTTGGCAGGCTATGATAATTAGTTAAACTTTATTGAATGGTATATGCTTTTGATTTTTTATGTCACATTTGAAAAAGGCGTAACAAAAACGTGCCATATCTGGCACACTTCAAGCTATATCTTGACCTAAATTTCAGCAGCAGCCTTTCCTATGATGTCAGATGGGATTGTTTTTCTTCCCCGTGTTTTTCTTTCTGCTCTGTGGTTTGGGAGACCCCCTCTAACCATCAGTATAACCACCATCTCTTCATCCAGCCGCCACAGAGCAGGAAATAGAGCTGTTTATTTCAGCTGGGCTTTCTGGACCCAGGCGCATGTCGGGATAATCTATCCCCCATCTCTGCAACGCCCAATTTGTCAGCTCACTGATAAAGCACAAATGTTTCTCACTTGCTGGGTTTGATGTCAACAGCTGTGTTTCATCTGCAGCCAGATCCCCAATGGAGCATCAAACAAAGCCCAAATGGCCAGGTGAACTCTCTTGAGATAGTAAAATACATGATATCTACATAAAAGGAACACTTTTGATTGCAAAATAAATCTACAATCCAGATCAGGGTAGGAAACACCTGAAGTATTATTATTCAAAAAGAGCTTGAGAGGATTTTTTAGTAGATCCAGAGCCCACATTAAAGGTGTTATTGGGAGTGACTGCATTATTAGCGAAGCAGACTTCGGAGATGTTAAAGCCTGTCAGTTGATAGATGTACTGAAGACAGTCATTACAGCTCTGAAATAAAAGCTGAACAACAGAGACTCCTTTAGAAACAGAGAGGAGGCAGGAGGGAAAATCCTCATCTAAACAGCACTCTTAAAAGACGAGCTGCCATCCGCAGTCTACCAGATTAATGGAGCTCTCCTTTGTGAATGATTAGTTTTGATTACAAATCCAAACACTCTTTCGCTGTTGCAATCTTCTGAAACAGTGGATGCTTAAGCACATTATTACACACTGCCTTCCTTAGTTCTTTATTTTCTTCAGGGGTAGTGATTATGGCGCGCTAATTAGATTCAAGCACAATTGAATAGGAAACATAAAATCATAAAAATTCAACTGAAATCATATGTTGTAGCCTACATTTATAATGTGATTTTTAGATGAAGGCGGTGGATATTATTTAGCATGTCTTGCTATTTATAACAATGGTATAATTAAGTGTCAAGTTCTTCCTTGGCTATGATCATTTTTAGCTAAGACATCATTCATCCTGCCATCACTGGCATTTATTATAGTCACGACACGGCATGAATAAAACCGCCTTGGAAGAAATGATCTTTCTCTATAGATATAAAAGACAGAGGGAGAGACAGAAAGCGAGAGAGGAGTGTTTTTTATCTGGTTAACTGTGTCATTATTTTCCTATCATTCACAAATCAGTCAAGGTTTACAATGAAAAGGGCAGAATGTATTCACATCCACAAGACTTCACCTAACTGCCTCCTCCTTCTCCTCCCCGCCACAACAAAGACGGCAGTGAGGGCAGAAATGGCAGCGTCTCAGTGAAGAGTCGACCGCCTGCATTGTTGGAATTCCGGCTCAACTTCCTGAGTCTCTCCACACCTGGCCGACCGCCAGCACACGCTTTTCTCTCATTTTTTCCTTTCCTTCCCTTTATCAAGATCATATGTAGACTAAATGTTCCTGTTGAGACATAATATGAGTCTTTTCCAGCCTCACCCACATGTAATGCCATGTTATGCTCCGTGTCTTTGTTTAGTTTTTTCTCCACTTACATTACATTTCAATAAGCTGACGCAATTAAGGGTTGAGTAGCTTGTCTTAGGACACTTCAACATATTGAACGCAGGGGCTGGGGATCGAACCAATTGATAGACAACTATTTTTCTAATGTTGTTGATATTGTTTTTAATCATTAACGTGTCAAATAAACATTACATGTCATTTGTTAGACGCTTTTATCCAAAGTGACTTACATACATTCAGTACTGGACAATCCCTACAGGAGCAATTTGGGGTGAAGTGTCTGCCCAGGGGCACAACGACATGCTGACTGCAGTGGGACTCGAACTTGCTGTCCCCTGCTTTGAAGTGCAGCACACTCTCCACTGAGCCACAGCCTCCCTAAACAGTTGTACATAGAATAGATAGAAGATAGAATTGGAGGGATGAAACCCTCTTTAATGGTCACACATGCAGAGCACACAGCACACACAGTGACATTTGTCCTCTGCATTTAACCCATCCTACTAGGAGTCTATAGGAGCAGTGAACTCACACAGAAAAACAACAGTACAATACATAAAAAAAGAAAATGCAGTTGCAGTTCCTTTGGCTAAGTCACTATTATTTTCGTATTCTTCGTCGCAGGTTTGATTCCTGAATAATGACCATTTCTCTTACTTTTTATCAAGCTTTGTTTCCTGCAATCTCAAACATGAGTCATGTTTTCCATTGAGTATATACTCCACTATCTTTTCTCTTTGTTTTGACTAATAGGTTTCTCCTTTCACCATTTCCTTTTGATCGCCGCTCTGTGCCTTTCTTACATCTTAGCAAACACTAAGCAGCAACAATAAGTGCTTCTGAAGTCATTTCCAAATATTTGTATCACACTCTCCTCAATGCACGTCAATGTGACGTACATTATAGTCTCTGATTATGTGTTCTGTTTTCATTTGTCAAATTATGTCTGAATTTCTTCGTTATCACTGGCTTCCGTGGGCGCGACAGACACATCCACACTTGTCCCATGTCCAAGTGAACCCCTGTAATGAAACTGGCAGTGGCATAGCACCACTACAGCTTAGCTCAGTCAACCATCTGTCAGGTTGCATGGATCCATGTGGAGTAAACTACAGTGGACCTTGTATGGACATGTTCTAGCATGAATGTCTTGACATCAATGTTAACTATGAAACGCACAAAAAAACTATTCCTGTCCCTTTCTAATGGAAAAAGCACGCAAGGAGAGTATGACTCACCGCCTTCCATGTCTAATTCAGGTTTCGCTACATTAAGCAAATTAGATATAGAGACATCATACAGCATATTATGCATGTACATCCGTATTCACACATGGAAGCTATTTTGGCACCTGCCTGGACATTTCTCTCTCATAGTAACCCACAGTATCCACAGACAGCAGTGCTAGGATGCCGTTGACAGATGAAATCAGGTCATTGTGTTCTTGATTTTTTTCAGTGTGTGGGTCTGAGTTGTGTGATAAACCCTGGCCATTGCAACCTGATTATACTTGTTCATCTTTTTCAAGCAGAATGTCTGCCAACCAATAATACAGAATCATATTACTTAATTGTCATATCCATTCTAAATTGGTTTGCATCACAGCAGCTACATTTGCAACAACAAGGACCAATATGTGAGACAAGAAACAAGGAAACAGACATTTAACAAAACCTTACAATCACTGGAGACAATATGTTCAAGACCCTTTAATATACAATTGATCTTGGATTAGACTGTGTATTTAATTTTAGGATTGGCTGGTGCCCAAGAGAGAGCTTCATTCTAACATTATTAAATGGTGGGACTGATTTGATTGTAACAGTTCATATTCGCTGTTCAGGACACAGTTGGGATCAGAGTCAATGTTGTGGGCAAGCCTC